AGTTCACCAAAGGTGCAAGATGGGGAGAAGAGTGGCTAGTGCAAGGGAAATGGCCTGGAAGAGAATTAAACGGGCAAGGGGTTGGAGTTTACAATGCAGATGAAGAGTAGGGTTATGTAAGGGAAGGCAGAGAGAGAGGTTATAAGCCAATCAATTATAGTCAGATAAGGGGATTTCAGAATTCTTGAACATAGAAGTGGTACATTTGTGGGTATAACCCAGAAATCGAGGGTATAACCATTTTTGTATGTGGCTCTACCAAAGTGGAAAAGTAACTCATGGGAGGTGAGTAGGTTGAAGAACTGAGTGGTTAGTGTGTTTAAGAGAGTCAACATGTATGTTGAAGTTCCCTAGTATGAGAGCAGGAGTTGGGAAGGAGAGAAAAATTGTGAGTCCGGTATCAAACTCATTGAAAAAGAAAGAAATGGATCTGGAAATCTATAGACAATAGCTACTAGGATTTGGATTAGGTGGTAGATTTGAATAGCATAAATCTCAAAGGAAGAGAGGTTACTGATTGGGAGTATTCCAACTCCCCCTGCCCTCCATCCCTGACCAGTAAGCCTAGAAGAATGAGTGAAGGTGCAGCCAGTACTGGAAAGGGTGTCCAGGCAGGATCTGTCATCAGAGGAAGCCAGGTTTCAGAACTAGTAGATGGAAGGAATTGGAGAAGAAAAGATTTAAGATGAAAGGAAGTTTGTTGCCTATGGAAGAGGTATTCTAGAGAGTACAGTGGAAGGACTGGGTGGAGTTAGGTTGAAACTTTGAGTTGGAGATTTGAGGAGGATGGGAATGAGGAAGTGAGTGATAAGGGTGAGGAATGAAGTTTGGATGATGATCTATAGGAGTTCAGAGTCACTGGAATGTGAAAGGTATGAGGAGTTGTGAGAATGTTCATCATTGAGTGGAGAGCTCTACTCCTCTATCTTCAAAGGACAAGTATAGCAGGAGATAGGAGGCTTGAAGTCAAAGGGAGGATTGTTCTTCTTTACACTGGAGGTTTTCCACATCCCAGTTGGGAGATTGGGCTGGCAGAAGGAGATAGAAGTTGCTTTGTGCTGACACGGATGGAAAAGATAGCGTTAGGTCAGATGGAAGATGCCCAGCTTAGCTTTTAGCAGCCTTTCTTCAGGAGAAACATTGTACCCAGCGGGAGATAAAATAACAAAGACATAGAAATAGACATGGACATATAAACTAAACACACACACACACACATATAAATATACTTATACACAAATATATATGTATGTATATATATTCTGCCTTGTTACCTACATTGTACAAAGGTATCATGGTACAGTAGATAGTAAGTTGGCCTTCTATTTTTTTTTAAGTAATTGGGGTTAAGTGACTTGCCCAGGGTCACACAGGTAGTAAGTGTCAAGTGTTTGGTCTGAGGCCAGCTTTAAACTCAGGTCCTCCTGACCTCAGGGCCAGTGCTCTATCCACCGCCCCTGGGTTGGCCTTATATTAAGGAAGACCTGGACTCAAGTGCTGCCTCTGAATGAATACTAGCCATGTGACCATGGGCAAGTTACTTACCTTCCTGGTCTGGGTCCAAAGCAACTAAGACTATAAGTTATAGATGAATTGCCAATATGCATTCATGGAGGGAATTTCCATACCTTGAATCCCCTAGACTGATGAAATCTCAGGTCCAGATGTGAAAAATGAGGCTTGTAAGCTCCCTGAGGATGGGAACTTTGCTATTCACCTTTTTGTAACACTTAGGTACTTGGCAAGCATCTTTCATGTAATAGAACATCATAAGGGAGAATTGTTAAAACTAATCTTAGGACTAAAGGTTTAAAAAAATCCCAGATTTTTCTCCCATATAACACTATAGAAAGTATTTTCTCTAAATGTTTTTTTAAATTATGAATATAATTAAAACAAATAATTAAACAAACCTGCAGAGTAAGGAGTAAACTCATTTCTTAAACTCTTGGCATTTAAGAAAGAGAAGCAAATGAATTAACAAGCAACAAGCAAATGAAAATACTTTAAAAATGATAAGTAATATTTAAGGAATATGAAAAATGTGTAGAATGCAAAATGAAATCAACAGAATCAGAACAATATATTCACTGACTATAAGGAAGAAAAAAAGGAAGAATGATTCAGACAGTACACTGAATATAGCTCCTTGCTTTGTGTATGGGAAGAGTTGGGTGAAGGCATTGTGACTTGGAGATTTGTTGCTTGCCTTTGTATTGTACTCTGCCCATTCTGGATCTCTACTGGTCAGCTATGATTCCTTAGTGCTGATTTTTCTCAGCTAGCAGTCTCATAACTTGATCTGCTCCATCTCCTTTCCAGTCCTTCAGCTCTCTCGTTGCAGCCCTCTGTTGGCCACCTTACATCCCTCCATTTTGCTTCTTCGTTCTTCTACCCACAAGCCTACTTTCCAAAGATTGGGGCAAGAAAACCACTGGGTATCATTGTCTGTTCAATGGTTCACTTCCTGCCTCCTTTGGGTGTAGTCAAAAGCAGGTTCCATTTAAAATTTAAAATTTCCATTTAAATTTCCATTTTAAATTTCATTGATTTTGTTGCCAGTCATTGTCTTTGTAACGAGGGTAATCACTGGCCTGGAACTACTCTGGCTCTGGCAAAAGCACACATCTGTAGATCTTGGGTGTGGCTGAGATGGGCTTCCTTGGCCACATCCAGTAATATATGTAATTCAGCATAAGAGAAATTGTGTTTTGCAATCACAAAGCAATCCCCTTTGATAGTAGCAAGGGGTGCCTATGTCAAAGAGGACTGATAACTGGGCCAAAAAAATGGCCCACTTAGTGGAACAAAAAAAGAAGTGACTTCACTGGCTCTCCCTTCTTCCTTTCTCCTGAATGTGTGACATGGAGCTCGTTCTTTGGCATTTCTATTTTGTGTAGGAGAGAAGAGCCAGCTGCCAGTTAGAGTATGTGCTCATCTGTATGTGAGTATGTGAGCTTGAGTCAGGTTCTCAAGGTTCTGGATACCCCTCCTGCTTTGTGTTTCCTTCCTTTAATATGGGTAACTGAACAGCAATTCTGAGATGGAAGTTTGCAGTCTCAGAGGCAGACTTACAAGTCTGAGCAGTCTGAGTCCCTCAATTGGTACCATGTGTCCTGTGGGAAGTGCTCTTGGGAGATCTTAGACATGAAACAAAAAAAAATGTTTATAACATTTTCCCTGGGGCTCTGGGATGGACGTGCAAAGAGCTAGAGAAAAGAAGAACTTGTCCCCTCTCTTTAGAAGCCAGGCTTCCTCAGTTCAGAACTGAGATCTGTTCTGCTAGTGATTTCAGAGCTGGGGCTCCTTAGAGTGAGAAGACACTTCAATCTCCTTGGGCCAGAATCTTCTACTGTTACATATTTACATTTTTTTTTATTGTAGTGCTCTTGTTGTGTGGCCTTTAAGGGGAATTATTTTTGAAAGTATCTTAGCTCCTACTTCCCTAATACTTACCCTCATCCCCACCTCCACAGACTATCTATCAGGAATTGGAGGTGGTGGGGGGGCTTAAATTGAAAGGAAATTAGGTAGAAATAAAGTCCTGATTCAGGGATATGTAGGGATAATTTTATTCTAAGCACACTGTGAAGATAAAAGCAGAGATTATTATCACTACAAGAATGTAACCCCAATTCCTTCCCCAAAGGACTGTAAGTCATGTAAGTCATGTAAGTATTTGCTGTCTATGACTTGGTGAATTGTTAGTCTCAATTCTCTCATCTGTAAAATGGGGATAATAATAGAACCCATTTCACAAGGTTGATGTAGGGATCAAATGAAAAACATGTAAAGCGCTTTACAAGCCTTAAAGCCTTTATATTAGCTATTTCCATGATTATTAGCTTTTCATGGTAATTAAGAATCGTTCATTTGCAAATGGCTGTATATATTAAATGACACCTAAGTTTCCCTAAGAAGGGACTCTTAACTTGGAATTCATGTTTTCATGATTTCAAGTGGTCTACGAACTTGGATGTGAAAAAATTACATCTTTATTTTCACTAACCTCTAACTGAAGTTTGGCATTTGTTTCAATTCTGAATATAGGCCACAAGCCCCAGTAATATTAGACTTAGACTGCCAAAGTAATGCATGACACAAAAAAGATTAAGAACTCCTGCCAGGTTTGCTGACTCAGAAGGGAATAGCATGTTTTATGAAATAATAGTCCCCTTCATTCCCTTTCTTACACACAGTAAATACTTAATGTTTGTTAAATTGAATTCCTAGATAAAGGGTTAAACTCGAGTAAATCCCTTTTACTTTTAAGCCCACATTGAATTGAAATGGCTCCTCATGATTTTCTAAACTCAGCTCAGGTCAGGGGTCTTCCCCTAGTGCTCTAGGCACCAGATCCGTAACGGACAATTAGCTTGGTTAGTGGGCCTCAGTCCCTGGCCCCCTTTGATTCCCCATCATTCTTCTCTCCAGTCCAGTCTCCAGATTGGGAGTGTCTTCCTTCTGAAACTCCTGGAGAAAGTACTCCTGGGGCGCACGGGGATCATTATCACCTTCCGTGGGACATAAACAATGGAGAAAAAAATAAACCTTTCCCCTTTTTAAAAGTCAGGTGCAATGAGGTTACAAGCACGCGATTTTCAGCTGGTCTACAGGAACTGGGTGGGGGCTTCAAGCTCCGAGGTCCCTGCAGGGAGAGAGGTGGTTACCACGGCAACCCGGCCCTGGAGCCAATAGGTTCTCTCGCTTCCTCTCTTCTTTCTCCGCCCCCTCCGCCCTTCTTCTCAGGCCAAGGTACCAGCCGGTCGGCGTCCCCCTTGCTCGGCGCGCTGATTGGCCGCCGCAGGCCGGGCGCTGATTGGCTATGGAGGATGCCTTGCTGGCCCGTGGCTATGGAGGTGGCGGCGGCGGTTGATGGTTGACTGTTGGCTCTCAGGTCAGGGTCGCCCGCGAGGACACGCACAGGGCTCCGCAGCTCGGCTGTCCCGGGACGGCCACGGCTTCGGTTCTCGCGGAGGGGAATCCAGCTCGGGTCCGCCATGCCGGCGGGGCGCAGTGAGCCGGACGGCGTCCTCAGCTACCAGGTACCGGCCCCGCCTCCTGCCCCTCCCGCCCCTCCCGTCCCTTGTCCTCTCTCGGAGCCCCGGCCTGGGCCGCGCTCTCCCGAGCGGGGATGGGGATGGAGGGAAGGGGCGCTCCCGGAGGCTCCACGGGGCGCCCTGCGCGGCGGGCCCGGGCTGCGGGAGCGGGGGTGACCTTGGGCCGGAGCCGGGCACTGCGGCAGCCAGCGCCCGGGGGGCCGAGGGGGTGTGGGTGGCGTCGGGTGCCCCGGGTTCTGTTCTCCCGCGAGGGACCAGGGACGCCTGGCCCATTCTAGAAGGATGGCCCGGCAAACCCTTTCTCGCGTCCTGGGGTCCCCGGCCCGAGGAGAGGTGGGGAGACTGGGAGCTGACCTAGGGAGGGAGGATGTGGTCCTCTGGCAGCCTGGTGTTAGGGAGACTGGGAGAGGAGAGGCAGAGACACTTGGCCTCCTTTTTCGGGGGGATGAGGATGCTCTTGGGATTCAAGGAGTGGGTAACAGGAACTGTACTGAGAGAAAGAAATGAAAGGTTAAGGTGAATGCAGAGAAAGATAAAAGGTAGGTGGTGGTATTAGGGGGACCAAGGAAAGATTTTGGAATCAAGTGACAGATCTTGATGATGGGGATAGTTCTGGAGAAAGGGGCTAGGGCTGGAAAGTTTTGAATGAATAATAAAACGATTCTGTCAGGCACTGGATTTTTCTTTCTCTTCATGAAGATGGTGACATCAGGAGACCTCTGAGTCCCTTGATCCTGGGGGGGGTGGTGAAGGAGATGTACCTGAGAGTTGGAAAAACCTGCCAGTGACACATTCATGCCCATTTAATGGAGTAATGACAAAGGGAGGGGGAAAGATTTGAAATTGCTTGAGATAAAGGCGTTTCATAGAAGGGCAGAGAATAGTCTTGATCCCTACCTTCTCTCTAATGCTAAGTTAGTCAATCCTACACACCATCTATCTTCTCTGGGAGAAACTGGAGGCTGAGGAAGAAGTCTAAAGTTTGGTATCTCTGATCAACTTCTGAGCACCCCCATCTTTTACTGATCATACTTTAGAACAGGATGTGTGAGGAAACAGAGACTTCACTTCATATTATACTTTAAAAATTATTAGTATCTTTCCTTTTTATTACTGACATTTCCCATATCCCCCCATCTCTAATAACAAAGAATTTTTAAAAGGAAAAAAATTTAGCAAAATGAACCAACATTTCAACCAAGGCAGACATTTTAAATAGTGTTCTCACCTAGGCCTCTACCTTTTCAAAGAAGAGAAGCCAATCTTTGGGGGGGGGGGCGCAATCTTGGTCATTGCAATTTCACAATATTCAGTTGAATTTTTTCCTTTTAATGTTTATGAACTTGAAAATCATCAATAAACATGAATATTTCCTTATATAAAGAACAGAACACCTATAAATAAAAAACACATGAAACCACGAATATACCTTACATGCAGCTTTTTAAAAAAAAGTTTATTTTGATTTGCCATGTATTTCCAACACTGCCCTCCTTGAACTTCTTTCTGTTCTGTTTTGGGTATTTGGAGTAGCCTTTCATATGGTTATTAATTGTTTGCAATTCTTTTTAGAGCTGTTTGTTCATATCCTTTGATCACTTATCCTTTGAGGAGTGTCTTTTGGTCGTATATGTGTGTTAGTTCCTTATATTTTGGATATCAGACCTTTTCCAAAGATATCTGATGCAAAGATCCCCCCCTTTATTGACTTATTCCCTTCTTATTCCAGTTGAATTAACTTTGTTCATGGAAAAGCTTTTCAATTTCATGTCATCAAAATGATCTATTTGATCTTTTGTGATCACCTCTGTCCCTTATTTGGTTAAGAATTGTTTCCCTAGATATGGCTGTGAAAAGTACTTGATCTTGTTTTCTTCTAATTTTTAATGGAATAACCTTTAGTTATTCAGGTCACATGTGCTTTTTGAGCTTATTGCAATATATGATATAAAGTGTTGGTCTAAACCTAATTTCTGCCAAACCATTTTTCAGTTTTACCACCAATTCTTATAAAATAAGGAAGTCTTCTCCCAGTAGAATAGGGAAGTCTTCTCCCTTCTTTTGTTTGTCCCATACTGAATTTTGAGTTCAACTATTTCTCCTACTTATTTACCATAACATACCTTTGAATACCAGGTCAAACAAGATCATCCCATAGAGAAATAAAGTCAGGGAATCACAATAAACCGCTTTCCTCACTTTCCCTGTCCCTGAAGGCTTCTGTTTGATTAGTGCCCTTCCTTAAAAATGCATCCCCACTCACTTTACTCCCCCACCCTTGCTCTCTCCCAATATAATGAAATTCTATGGGTGGAAGTTTGGACTAGGTGATGACTTGCTAAAGTCCCTACTGACTCTAAGAATCCATGATTCTAGGAATTTGGAGAAGAGGGAATTAGGAGTAGTCATTAAGGATTTTCTGCAGGAGGCCTTCTGGGCCTTGAAGCAGAGAGAATACTTAGGTGTAGGGAACATTCTACTTAGTGAAAACAGCTAACTAGTAAAGTCATAGCATTAGGAATTAGTGTAAAGCATGCTGGGTGCAGTGAGTAGACTAGGTGAACTGGGGTACAAAGTAAAAGTTGAGTCTGGGGAGAGCCAGATTATAGAAGGTTTTCAAAGTCAGGAAGAGTTTGGATATGATATAGTAAGTAATTGAGAACCATTAAGTTCTTGATCAATGGAAAATGTTTTAGGAAAATCAATGTTCCAGGAGAAGGTAAGACAAATTTGATAGGGATAAGTAGGGGTTAGGACAGCTAGGTAGTATAGTGGATAGTGTGGTGAAAGACTTATCTTTCTGAGTTCAAATCCAACCTCAGACACTTCCTAGCTGTATGACCCTGGGCAAATCACTTGTTTGACTCAGTTTCCTCATCTGTAAAATGAGCTGAAGAAGGAAATGGCAAACCACTCCAGTATCTTTGCCAAGAACACCCCAAATGAGGCCACAAAGAGTCAGATAGAAATAGAAAGACTGAACAACAACAACAAAAAGTAGAAGTTAGGAAGGTTAACTATTTGAGTAAATAGTATATGAGATGAAAAGGATCTGGATTATGGTGATAGCGGGAGGGAATGGAGGGGAAGGGGATTTTGATAGATTACAAGAGGAATAAATGACTGGACTTGCTGACAGGCATGTTAGAGTAGATGACAGAGTGAAAGAATGTTTTAGAGCTAAATTTTGATTTCAAGGTTTCTAGTCAGGGAGCCTAGAAGACTAGTGCTACCACTGATGAAAATAAAGAACTCTGTGTGTGTGTGTGTGTGTGTGTGTGTGTGTGTGTGTGCGCGCGCGTGTGTGTGTGTATGAAGAATTTAATTTTGGAAGTATTAAATTTAAAGTGGTAGTGTAATATCCAAGTGTGCATACCTTACAGGTGAATGGGGGTACAAGTAGAGTAGAGGCCATCCCATAGAACAGGCATAAGGATGGGTCTATGCCCTGACTGTTTGTTAAGGTACATGTACAACCAACTGGTGTTGACCATGCATCAATAAAGAGGTCATCTCATAAGAGCCTGGAAGTTATCTCTTCACTCTCACAGAATTGGTGGCTTTTCCTGGCTCAGTTGTCAGTCTTCTCTGCAGAGAGGTGAGAGTAAAGATATATTTTTATGAGTTTTCAGCATAAAAGTGATAGTTGAAGCAATAAGGATGTTGAGCTCTCAAAATGAATACATATAAAGAAGTAAAAGCAGAAAGCCAAGCACAGAACCTGGAGCAACATCCACGCTTAGTAACAGGGACAAGGTCTGGGGATCACTTACAGCTTCCAAATAGCTGCTGAAATGCTTAGCAGCTGAACAACCAGCTGAGGCTGGTTCTGGGATGCTGGTTGGGAAACGGAATCTTGGGCATCCTGAGGGAGTGGAGGTTGGGGGGAAACGGAGAATAGATGAGGTACTAGTGGAATCAGGAAAAATATAAGGCATTCTATTGGGGATTGTGTGTATACCCAGTCTCCTTAGGTTGGATAATATTATGAAACATCTCAACCAAAGAAGGCTGACAATTATTTGACATCTGAGAAATAGTGTAAATGTGAATTGGGGTGGGCTATCAATAGGAGGAGGGTTATATAAGGACCTCAGTGATTCTGTAAAAGCCTCTGGTAACCATGCTGAGGGTTCATGATTGGCAGAAGATTGGAAGAATAGTGACCATTTGTTTCACTTATTTGTATAATTCCCACATTCCCTTTTTTCCCACTCCCCTGTGTATAAATCAGGAATACTCTTTTGCCTTTAATTTCCAATGGCCAGAACTACTGGTTAATGGTTGCTAGGAGCAACACAGGCAAGACTTATAGAACAAAAGAATGGAGGCAGCTATCGGAACAATTCAAGCAGCAAATTCTCTTCTTCCTAAATTATCAAAGTAATTGTCTTTGCTCACTATTTTGCTTTGGCCATAGTTAGTCTTATCATGGCTGTCTAAAGCATTAGTAATCAGGCAACTGAAAGGTAACCATGTTTATCTTAAATCTGCTGCTAGGTAACTGCAATTAATATTAGAGAATAGCATTTGTTTGTTTTTCTCACCAAGTAGTAACAAGTCTACTATTAATTTAGTGGTTAGGAGACCACAATGTACTGACAAGAAATCTTTGCTGAATAACAAGGACCTATCTTAGTAATTCAATAGGAAATTCAAATGTCCCAACTCATTACTTGAAATGATTAAAGTTTATAGAAGGTTGTGCTAAACTCAGGATGGCAACCAATTGATCATTCAAGAGCCAATGTCTATTGTGAGCAAGACATTTGGAGCATCAGTAGGGGGATACTAATCAGAGGATCATAGATTTAGAGCTTGAAAGGACACTGGAGATGATCTAATCCAGTGGTTCTTAACCTCTTTTTGTGCCATGGACCTCATTAGAAGTCTGATGGAAGCCTATGGATTCTTTCTCAGGATAATGCATTTAAATTCATGAAATAAAATACATAGGATTACAAAGGAAACCAATTATGTTGAAATAAAGACGTAATCCCCCCCATACAAATTCACTGACCCCCTTACGGGAAGGTCTATGGACTCCAGGTTAAGACCCCTGATCTAGTCCAACCCCCTCATTACAAAGATGAGAAAACTAAGTATTTGAGAGGTTAAGTGATTTGTCCAAGATTGCAAAAGGTAGTTTGGAATTTGAACCCAAATCTTTTGACAAACACTTTCCCTTGTGCCCCAGTGGGCTTTTGGCACTAGCAACCTGCAGATCACATTTCTTACTTGCTTTGTAGGTGTCAATAGGGAGGTGAAGGTGAACAAGGCCTTGAGGATCTGTGGCATGAAGTCATTGACCTCAGTTCATTAAGGAGCTAGAATCCAATGAGATAAAGAAGGGATTTGGTGGTAAAGAACTTGGGAATTGTTGAAAGGATGCATGAGTAGAATAAGTCAATGGATGGTTGACTAGTCAGTTTCCTAACTGCAATTACCAGGACTCAGAAAGGGAAGTTTGAGAGTGGGAGGATCCAGGCAGTTCTCACCTCCTTTTCAGCCATTGATCCTTTCTATTTTGCTGCTTCTACTCATCAAGTGATTCCAGGATCTGGTGCCATCTGCCTTTTAATTTGTCCAATAGCACTAAGCTTTGGGCTGTGATTTTGGGCTGCTTTTCAGCTGTGATTCATCCAGGTTCAAGGCTTATTACAATTCTTTGTGTTTCAAGGCCTTTATTCTTTCCTATCATCAGTGTCCATTCTTCATCAGTGACATTCTATTGCAGTATTTTGTGTGTATTTAACCCCTTGACCATTTTTTCCTTTATTGTTATTTTAAGCTCTTAGAGCCTGTCTCTCCTAATTTAATTCATATTCACTGACTGTATGTAATGGAAGGAGATATAAAAGAATAAAAGGCAAAAAAGTTAGAGACAAGGTCTTTTCTTTTTTTTCCTATTAAACATAATTTTCACATTAGTAATGTTGTAAGGAATAATTAGAACCAATAGGAGAAACTACAAGAAAGAGGAAACAAAACAAAACAGAAGAAAAAAATAGCAAATAGTATGCTTTGATCTGCGTTCAAACTTCATAGTTCTTTCTTTGGATGTGGATAGCATTTTCCATCATGAGACTTTTGGAGATGTCTTCGATCCTGGCATTGCTGAGAAGGGCTAAGTCTATCATCGCATAACATGGTTGTTACTGTGTACAATGTTCTCCTGGTTCTGCTCACTTCACTCAGCATCAGTCCATACAAGTCTTTCCAGGTTTTTCTGACGTCTGCCTGCTCACCATTTCTTATAGCACAATAGTATTCCATCACATTCGTATACCACAACTTGTTCAGCCATTCCCCAATTGATGGGCATCCCTTCAATTTCCAATTCTTTGCTACCACGAAAAGAGCTGCTATAAATATTTTTGTGCATGTGGGTCCTTTTTTCTATTTTTATGATCTCTTTGGGATGCAGCCCTAGAAGTGCTATTGCTGGATCAAAGGCTATGCACATTTTTATAGCCCTTTGGGCATAGTTCTAAATTGTTCTCCAAAATAGTTGGATTATTTCACAACTCCGCCAACAATGCATTAGTGTTCCAATTTTCCTACATCTTCCCCAACATTTATCATTGACCTGTTTTGTCATGTTGGCCAACCTGATAGGTATGATATGGTACCTCAGAGTTGTTTTGATTTGCATTTCTCTAATCAATAGTGATTTAGAGCATTTTTTCATATGACTATAGATGGCTTTAATTTCTTTATCTGAGAACTTCCTGTTCATATCGACAAGGTCTTTTCTGTATTTTTTTCCTTTTTAGATTGAGGAATTTGATAATATCATAGGAAAGTAATAACTAAATGGTAGATACTGAATCTTCAGTTAACATAGACTAATAAAGCCGTATTCTGATCCTGCATGGTTGACCTTTCACATGCCTTTGATACTGACTGTGTCTTCTCTGACAAAGTAAAATGAAGAGATAAATGATTTTCAGTGAATTCAGCCTATAGCTAGCCAATCTGAATTACTGAAGTCCACCTCACCCCATGCCTAATTTATATTAGTAGCAGATTGTTTTGTTTGAAATTTTCATATGATTGTCTCCCTTTTTCATTTTTTCCTTATAGAGCAACAATAAGTGAATCTTGTCATTGAAATTTAATTTTCATTCATTCAGTGACTGTCAAGCAGGTACCATTTCACTATGCTAGGTGCTTTGGTGGGTACAAAGTTGTATAAGGTATAGCCTTGTCCTTTGAGGAGCCTAAAATCTAGTTGAGGAGATATAAGCATATACTTATAAGAATTAATGTTATGGAACTTTTTGGGGGAGTGAACAAAAGACAGTATAAAATTAAGTATCAAATGATAGATACAGATATTCATTCAGTAAACATTTTCAGTTTTTTGGTGTTTTTTTTTTGTTTGAAACATTTTTAGTTTTGTTCAATTTAAGGCACTATGATAAGTACTTCAGGGAATATAAAGATGAGTATGACATAGCCCCGGCTCTCAAGTATCTTAAAATTTAGTTGAAGAACATAAGGGATACACATAATTTTGGTCAGGAAAGAGCTTCATGGAGAAGATGGGTCCTGAGCTGGGCTTTGAGAGGGGGAGAGGAATTGGAGATAGAAAGAAGTGGGTGAATAGAATGACATGAGGAAAAGCATAGAGGCAGAAATATGTATGGCATGTTCCAGGATCAGTGACTAGTACAGTCTGTCTGGAGGAAAGGATTTATGAAGGAGAGTAGTAGGAGATAAGATGGCACACATGGATTAGAGTGATCACAGAGGGCCTTGAATAGCAAACATTAAGGACGTAGGATTTTATCTTGTAGGCAACGGGGGGTCAAAGTAAAATATTTTTGAACAGCAAATCACATGAATAAAGTGGTGTTTTAGAAGGCTAGTCTGTCAGAGGTGTGCAAGATGGATTGGGAAACTGGAGGCTTCCAGTTATCAGGGGTGAAGGAAGGATCAGACTGTTGGCAAAGGAAATGGAAAGGAAGGAATGAATTCAAGAGACATAATGAAGGAGCAGTAAAAATTGATGATTAGTTTTGTACTTATTCTGTAATGGGAGGAGTCAAAGATAACACTTACATTTTAGGCCTGGTTATCTGGGAAATGATGTTGCCATTGACAGAAACTGGGGAAGTAATGGAGTAACAGAAGGAAAGTTTAGTTTTAGAAATGGGAGTTTGAGGTAGGATTTCTGTATAGTTATCAGAGATATGTGATTGGCTTCAATTTAGGAATCATCAGCATAAAGAGGGGAGTCAGAACCTTGAGAGTGAAGGAAGAATTCTCAGAAAAATAATTTGTAAGGAAAGAAGTTTGGGGGAAGAAGAGTTACTGAAGGAGATGGAGCCTGAAGGGGAAGAGATGTGGGAGTCAGTGTAGTGTTAGTGTCACTGATGTCAAGGAGGAAAGAATTTCAGAAAAGAAGGGAGTGCCCGTCAAATTGGCAAAGACAGAGCAAGGTGAAAGTAATCTGTGCAGGAAACAAACTTCTTGCCATTTGGGTTATGGCTGAACAAACTGTGATGAGTGAATATAATGGAAATTTGGGGGTCGTAAGTAATGGTGAATATGAAGAATTATCAGAGAAACATGGGAAGTTTTGTATGAACCAATGTGGGATGAAAAAAGGCAGAACTCAAATATACCTAATGACTCCAGTTATATAAATGAAGAGAACATTAAAAGACAACAGAATTCAAGTATAATACTATGGCCAGAACTGGTTCTAGATGACTGAAGTTAGTACACAAGGGTGGACTCTAAGAGCAGAATGTTACACATGTTACACATTACAGTTCCTTACGTGTGTGGGAGAGTGGGGACATTGAGAAGTTATTTCTGTGCCAAAAAAAAAAAAGAATTTTAAAAAAAAGAAAAGAAAGTGTATCAAAGGTGAGAGAGAGAGAGATACACAGAGAGATACACAGAGAGAGAGAAAGGCAGAGACAGAGGCGGAGAGACAGAGACAACAAGGAGAATATAATTGGTATATACCCTCTTTATTCATTTTTTTAGAGACCAGATGAAGAAGCAGTTGTGGACCAGGGAGGGACCAGTACAATTCTCAATATTCACTATGAAAAAGAAGAGCTGGAAGGTAAGATTTGAGCCTGCCATTTTCTATAGTAATCAAAAAGATTGATGTTACCGAAATACCTATTTCATGAACACTTAGTAATGTGAAGGAAAAACCTGTTTATCACTTCCTAATCAGCCACAAAGAATCATAAAAATTCCATTTAGAGAAACCTCGTAAGTAGCTCTTAAAACTCTCTTGGCTGCAAACATTCCATTTAGCCCACAATATTTCTAGTGGTTCTGGCAACTCCCTCTGCTGTCCCCGCAGCCCCTGCCTTGGTGGCAACTGTGGTGACTGACGCCTCCCAAGACAAAGCTCTCTTCACAGAAGTTGTTGGCACCGGCAAGTGGCTCATCATCAGAAATGGGTCTGGTTCTTACCCATTGAAATGATGCTGAAGAAGATGTGTTTGTCCCTTAGCCTTATCTCCCCTCTACACTCTGGCCAAACTGCATTATTAGCCATCTGGGCTGCCTGGCCTCATTGTGTGAGCAGTACCCCAGGGCTGCTGGGCCTTTTTTTTCCAGGCAGCTGAACCCTCCTATATGTGTTGCCTTCTCTTAGAATAAGAGTTCCTTGACTGTTAATCAGGGACTGTTGTGCTTTTCTATTTGCACCCACAGTGCTTTGCATGTAGTAAATCTTTTATTTATTCATTTCCACCCAGATTCTCCAGTGCTTCCCCTACTGCTTGTAATAGTTATTTTCTCTTATGCTGTTAGCACCTCAAAAAGAAAATGAATAGCTGCCTGTTGTATGCACTCAGATTTCCCTCCACACCGAGTATTTACATGGAAACCAAACAAAAGGAGGAAGGGAAGGGAACAAGCATTTATTTAGCATCTATAGTGTGCCAGGTGCTGTGCTAAGCACTTTACAAATTGTCTCATGGGATCCTCACCACAACCCTGGGAGGGAGGTGCTATTATTATCCCCATTTTACAGTTGAGGAAACTGAGGCAGGCAGAGGTAAAGTGACTTGCTCGGGGTCATACAGCTTGGAAGTGTCAGGGGCTGGATTTAAACTCAGGTGTTTCTGACTGCAGGCCAGTGCTCTGTACATCATCTGGAGAACCCCAATAACACATTTTTAGGTCCCTCTGCTTGTTTCCCTTATTTGCTCTACCTTCTGTGTTGTATTTGTATTGAATGATCTATTGTTTCGGTGTCTCACAAACATAGGTTTAGAGCTAGAAGAGGCATTCTGTATTCTGTTTGTATTTGTTTATGTACCTGTTGTTTCCCCCAATGGAATCTAAGTCCCTGGAGAGTAGGAATGGTTTCATTTTTTTGCCTTTGCATCCCAAGTTTCTTGTATAATACCTGGCACTACTGATTGATTAAAGATCATCTAGCCTCACCTTCTCATTTTACAAATGAAGAAACTGAGGCCCAGAGAGGTGACATGACTAGCCCAAGGTCACACAGATGGCAAGTGACAGAATAGGATTTGAACCCAGGTCCCCTGGCACCAAATCCAATATAGTTTCTGCTCTACTAGACCACACTGCCTCCTTCTCCTCCTCTTTCACGTGTGGCCTTCCTGCCCAGAGCTTTTCCTGTCACATGCAGAAATGTTTCTCCTGGTTTCCTGCTGTTGAGCACCACAAAGCTTCACCCTCCCCCCTCCAGGGACATCCAGGACTCTTGTGCTTGTGCAATATAACTCTAACAGTAACCTATACTTGGCTTACGAGTGAACAGGGTTGAGAAATCTCCATGTCTCCCCTGCCATGTTATAAGGATGGGAGGCTTCAAACTCACACACACCTGAAACAGACTCTCCTTTTTGTTATCAATGTGTCTTTCCTAAGCAAGGACAATATCCCAAGGACCAAAAAAAGCAAAATGGACATTTGGTTTGTTACCTCTTGGAGAAGTTCTTTTTCACACTTTTAGAGTAGGATAAGAGGGAACAGTAGTATGCATACCCCCTGGATTTTTTTTTTTTGTGGAGGTTAAAAAAAATTCTTGAGTCCTTTATTTAGGGCTCAGTCTGGTCACAACTTCCCCTCAGGAGGGACAAATGTCATTCATTCCACCAGCCCAGTCTGTGCTGCCACCCCACCAATGCAATAAAACCATTAAAGCTTCACTCTTGGTGATTCAAGTAGTTCAAGCCCTCATCACCATACAGAGGTCACAGAGGGAGTGGGGGGGGCAGGGAAGCCCTCTACCAGTCATTGTTCAATTTCCATTTCTCATAGGGAAATGCTGACATTTGAACGGGATGGGAGTTTTAACTGGATGCCTGTCAAAAGGCACCCGGTTGATGGTGATCGGAATTGGCTTCTGTGTCCTCTGTAGTGCATCATGACACTGGTAGCTCAAACCCAGAACACCCCCGATCGCACGTGAAGTATATGGACTGACCAGCCAACTGAGCTAGTATGAGTATGGCTAAGCAGGGCTCAGCACCTCTCCACTGGGCGTCAGGAGGCTCCCCTGCTGCTGCCCTCACTCTGGGAAGAGCCTCATTCCCCTAGAACTCTTGCTAGAAAATAGTATGGCATCATGGGAATTTGCCTGACCTGCCTGCTTTGTGGAGGTCACTAGTATCTTGGCTGATATTGAAACTTCTTTAATGGAATAGTCATATTTTCAGTTACTTGAAAAACTTCTCTGACTGGGTATCAAAGGACCCTCATGAAAAGAAGAGAAAGAGGGGAAAGGGAACATGGGTCACAGTTTGCATCATTTTCCTTTATCCTATCTGATTATTTCCTCTAAGCTCCCACCAATACATCTCTTGCTTCTCTACTAACTGATCTACCCACTTATTCACTGAGGAGTTTTGTTGTCCTGTTCCATACTGAGCCTCATCTGTCAACCCTCCTGTCTACTTCAATGCTTACTTCTCTCTGGCTCTAGCCTTTTTTCCCTAAGGCACTTAACTCTTGGCTCCAGCTCAGATAACAGGAGCCTGGAGATTAGAATCAGTAACCATAGACCCTATCTATGTCACATGAGGAAGTTTGAGACCTTTCAGAATTGGGGAGAGTGTCAAATATATATATATATATATACACACACATATGTATATACATACATATATACATACATATATACGTGTATATATATGTATATATGTATATATGTATGTGTATGTATATATATATATACTGGGAACAGTTTTATACAGATTAAAACCTGGGTCAGTCTACCTAAAATAGGATGTTTAGTCCCTTTAATTCAAATGTGGGCACACCTTTTTGAGATGGCAGAACCATTCTTCATTTGTGCTGCTTCTTTTTTGGCTAAAAAGCAAGTGATGATGGCACCCTCTGGGGATGCTGTAATGTATTCCTTTGCTCAAAGGTGGTGGCTGCTGAGGTTTTGCTCTTTGTACACATTCCATATCACTCGGTCATTCTCTTAACTCCCTTTCTATACTACTTTAAATACTTGGTCTTTGTACACGCTTAATTTTTTGGAATTATGGGCTTCCCCACTCCATTTTGCACAAACTTTCATCAGAAGGTGAATAGTAACATTTTACTTTATGTACAGGAAATGGAGAGATAAAGTATTAACATAATGTACAGTAAAAAGAAGAGAATATTAATTCAGTTTGTGGAGTTGTTGAGGCATTTATTCTCATTTTTTTTCTGATGGATCATCTCTGATGCTTGAATTTTAGAATGATGAATACTAGAATGACTTTATTTTCTTGTAATAAGGTTTCATTTGAGTTCAGAATTATATATGAAACTTCTGCCTAAGGTGTTGGATTATCTCTTGATATTACCAACCCTGACTCAAATTGTAAGCTCAAGGGATGAAATAACATCCCTTTGTCCATAGGAATGTGATGTTCAAAATTGTCCAGTCTGCAAGAAAAACCACTGAGGCAGAGCTCCAAGTCAATACCACTTTATTAAAGGGTCCATGAACCCCTCTAATGAAGTGGGTCTCAGATCTTTTTCATGGTCTGAGATGCCCCTGGTCCCCAGAATCTTGTTTTTGTAGGGTTTGACACTCGGACACTCAGGAGGGGCAAAGGAAAATACAAAATCCCATTGGTTGATAGACCTTATTTTGAAGGTCATGGGCTGGGCAAAGTGCAGAATATCTCCACTGACTAATCGATCATAAGATGAATGGGTTCCTCCTCATGTTGGGCACGAGGAGATGGTATGGGTAGCATAGAGATAGCAAACTGAATTGGGGGACTTTCCATACCTTGCCACCCATGCTAGGCTTAGACTTGGAATTTGAGCAAAACAGGATTGAGATATTTTTGTCATCATTCTTGTGGTTGTTCAAGTGAACTTCATAACTGATAAACAAGTAGTGAACATTAGATTGAAGTTTTAGGCCTACTGTAAGAACCTATCTTATCTAATTATCCCTATATAGTTTATGTAAAATGTCAAACTGATTAATACTGATTGGAGTAGAGGTGCAAATGAATCATTTCTCATGGGAATGAACTTTGCATGAGTGCCCAATTTATATACACTGGATTGTATGCAATTTTGTAAAGGTTTTATGGACATCTGTCCATGAACTGGAGCAACCACCATCCACCACCATTTTAACTTAGACAATCACATTTGTTCTGTCAAACCCTGATCTTGCTACTGGTTCACATACTTCAATCACAAACCACTAAAATTATATTTAGAAACACCTCCCTCCCCCAGTTACTCTCACTCTTTCTCACAGGTAGGCCTTCACAAATACATAGATGTGAATATATTTGCACAGATACCCGGTTTTTGAAAGTGGATAGGGCAGTCATGGAAGTAAGGGTGAACGAGTATCTGCAAGGTGGTCGATAGTGAGGCCTGAATGTAAGAGTCCATAGAGAAGGAGAATGACTGTAAGTGAGAACAGATGAGGACTCAGCAAAATGCCCACAGGCTGCTAGCTGGGAACTAATATTTTACCTTAGACTTATAAACAACAGCCAAAATTCCATTAGGTGTCCCAAACTTGCATTGGTGCTGTCCTCTTTTTCAGTGGTCATTCCATCATCCTTCCCACATGATAAACCTTCATAACTTATTATTTCC